TAAAGCGCGCAACAGCCCATTAGCGGCTGCTGTATCCCCAACATTTCGTTATGCAGGTCAGGTTTGGCTCCTGAGTTCTTAAATAGAAGCTGTTATTGTAGATACTCAGTTGAGTATCAAAGCATGGTTAGTGGTGCTGAATACGCTCTTTGAATTTGAAAATATGAAGAAGCCTATAGCAGTTCAAGGCAAAACTGCCCTTTGTTCTCAATGACGAGCCTCAATGTCAGTTCGAGACCAGTTGCCCCTCATGTTGCGTTTCAGTTGCAAGACATAACTGTGTGTCTGGGAGGAAATTAGAGACTTTCTAACCCTGCGGGGAGATTTTGTCTTACATATGGCCTGGCGGCATTGCACACTAGCCGTATTTAGGTGTAATATAGGGCAGCTGTAGGAAGCTCTCCTTTTATTGCAGGCCGGCGAGAGTGGCTCACGATTGGGATGCATATGTTTACGGGAAGTGTCCTAGGGAACAAACTTTGTTACGGGTAAACCTGACTAATTGATTCGCTATACGAGGCGTGTTCCGCTCCGAAGAGATTATGTTGGGCATGAAGGGCTGGTTCAACAAGGGACAGACAAGTGCACCATGCCCTGCATGAATGGTCGCTTGCCCTCCAGCGACAACCACTGCCTTGTTTCAGCGTAGACAAATCGCGCAGGCAAAAATGTAGCATATGCGTGAGCCTTTAGCAAGCAGCCTGCGACAAACTAAAGCTCTGACGGAAGTCCAAAAAGCTTTATTGCTCAGCGCAGCATGGCCCTTGGCATGGGAAACTGCGCAGTAGAGCGACCACTGCAGGCGCATGCATCTTCAAATGTGGTAGTAATACTAAACACCGCAGGTTCTCGGCATTGCAGAAAATAGATTAGGAGAGACCCGTATAATTCAGGGATTTCTGTGATGCATGGCCTCCATGTCACCTCAGGCTGTGCCTGTGCGAAGAATCGTGTGTTTGCTTATGCGCGCGCATCTTTCGAGCGCCACTGGTTTCGTTCGTTACTCTCGGAATGCCTTTAAATGCTGTCAAGAGCAATTGCTTTCCGATGCCTCCGAGACTGCTTCGCACACTTTAGGTAAGAATCGAAATGTTCGTGTTTTCCTTTAATTAGAACTGTAGTGCACTGTGTTCTCTGCGGCGTCTACGATGCTGGACAGCCCACAACTCAGCTGTTCCATGAAATATTGTCTACTACCGACGCATGGGTCGCCTAACGTCTACAAATATATGACCGTTCTGTTTCGACTTCTGGAAACCATATATCATTAAAGTCGTTCCTTCTCGTTCTTGCTTTGCTGGTCGGGTGAGGATGCGACACGCACCGGTGACGGTGTTGTCGGCAGTCGCAATCTTAGTGCGAATCACAGAATGGCTGAACAAGTGTGTCGTAAAGGTAGCCAAGTTTTCTGCCAACAGCTTAATAGGACCTCTCGTATACCCCATCGCTAATAACTGAGACATAGCCACTGCTTTTTGCCTGCAGTGCTCTACGCAAAAGAGACCAGCTGGGTCATGAATATCTCAAGTACACACTTCTACAGTGCTAGCGAGCAAAGACTCAAAGACTAATTAAGGTTTTTACGGAAGGGTAAGCCTGCAAGAGTACGAAATATGTAGCACTCACGCACTACAGCGGGGTTTACTGCTGACCGTAAGAGGATAGCTACATGGTGACCCATAAGAGGTTGACACGATGTACAAGGACACGCCATTGTTCCTACTATTGATTTAACGCAATTTATCAGCAAATTAGTATCTATGAGCATGACGTGTCTGTGAATACCTGCAGATTGGGGCTGGCGATAGCAGCGGCAGCGCTGCAGGCTTCCTCCCCATAGGGCAGAGAAATAAAGATCCCCGAGTGCGTGGACATTTAGGGAAAATCGATTTCACAGCTTGAGAAAACGACTACAGTTAATGATATTTTGGTAGTGCCTTCAAGGGCGCGAATGGGCAGTTCCGCAGTTTGGTAGCGGCTACGCATACAAGTGAAGCTGCGTACACAGAATCAGACGCGCAGGATCCAACAAGTGAAGAAGGTTGCCGCACAGTTTGTATAATAACAGGACCTGGATTACTGCGCTTAGTATCTGCTTTGTTTCTGTAACAGCTGAGCAAGTCTCCTTAAGCCAGCAAGACACGGAGGATAGAAGAAAGGTGGCGACCTACAATACGTTATTTCATCGTAGACCAAGCTAGTTACTCTGGGTTCTCAGTAAACTGTGCTTGACAACGTTGGGAACTGTCATCATGTAACTTCAGGGGGCAGAGAAGCTCTAGAAGACTAAGATGCAGGCAGCTCTGAAAAACACGTGGAACTTTCAGAGGTGTCCTGCTTTGCTCTTTTGGAGCTGTATTCTCGTAGAATATCTTGCAACTGCTGAAGATAAACGCGATGGAGACATCCTCTGTAATGCTTTAGGGTCATGTAAGCTGACGTCTAATGTACACAGCAGACTACACTGCAATCAATAAAGTAGTGAAGCGAGCACTTATGAACACCGCAGGCATCTGCAGTTGACGCCATCCTCAGTATTAGGCTCAAGCTAACGCTCTTCATCTATTCACTGTAGACTGCAAATTATGATGAAATAATACGCTGTAGCTTCGGCGACCACGAGGACCCTCAAACTTTAGTGCACCAAGTACGCGCCCATTGTCTCTAGGTGCTGTGCCAAAGTGCCTTTGAGCGTCAATGGAATAGCGGATGCTCTTTAGTCCTGCGAGACTATGGTAAAAAGCTTCTGCCAAGGGCGCGGACGTTTCCGGATCACCACCTAGGACTCTCTTAATATCCCTAGGACACTTTCAATCCTTCATTGAAACGACAATGCTGCGTAAAATATGAAAGGACACACAGAAGCGGCCGCAGGGAGTCCTGCACGAAGAATTTCTGCATTGTTGGCTCGTGTCCGCGAAAACAGACTTTTTCGTGTGATGCAACTCTGTACGGTTGGCCAAGCAGCGTCCATGCAGGCAGCGACTGCTATCCAGGGGAGTGTCAAAACTGCAGTGTGGCCAGGTGGTGCCTCGACTGGCTGTGTTTCAGCTTGCATATTCTCAAGTAGCATTTCTGTTCGCGTGCTATCGGGCAAGACACTGTTAGTTCGTCCGTCTGATTATCTTGAAAAATTTCAGACTAACTGGCTTTAATATCACTAACTGCATGACTAGGCCATCTTGTAGGTTTTTTATTGTCGTTGGACATTAATATTACACAGAGCTCAACTGCACTGTTACATGCAGCTGTTCAATGGCGCTCTCGTGAACCGTTTATAGTTGAAGAACAAGGCTGCTGCCCAAGCATGCTGCGTTCGCATAATATAAAAGTTAATGTAGCACTGCGCGTGCATCGTACAACAGCTGCTGTGAAAAGTGATGAGTGTGGCCCGACGACACTAGAGTTGCTGAGGATCATTGTTTCGCAGAAGCGCTGTATGGCAGATGCGGCACAGAGCCCTCGCTTTACGTGAGATGCGGCACACGGCGCTTGCGGAATCGCGCATTTCACTCCATGTGCTTCTGAGAAACACTCATTCTGAAAAGGAACGCTAAATCCATCCCCACTAGAGAATGAGGAGGCAAAAACGCGCGACTATAATGCAGCTGCCGCCGCTCAAACAGCATTGCATACAAAGTACGCATCCGACTAGTTCGGCAGGTGATAACATAGGCAAAATAAAGAACACGCAGAATAAATGTGCGGCTACACGACGCCGAAAGTCTGGATAAGAATTATTACGAACAGTTCACCGGAGAAATTCTTGCGAGCAGACTGCTGCGCCCGAGAAGCACTCTACATGAAATGCGACACAATGTGGTCAGAGAATAGGGTTTCACGCGGAGTGTTTCTCGGATAGAACAGTTCGCTCCCAAGAATTTCTAGGACAATCTGTTTGTTAGCGCGATTATTCTTACTTTCGGCATAGTATATCGGCAGCTTTATTATGCGTGTTCGTCAATTTTCTCGTGCCCCCGCTGACGCGACTAGCCGGATGTGTGCTTTCCAGGCAATACTACGCCGCACCCTTGAGCGAATGTGTGAGTCCAGATTTTCTGGAGTATTGTTTATGAGTTGCGCTGCATTTGCTGATTTTGATGTCCTGTGCTATCTATGTGTCACATTGACTAGCGCACCTTCGTGTTTTATGACCAGTGTGCGTTTCATTTGCTCTCAAGATTCGTGTAGCTGTTACGATAAACAGGATGTTTTTATTCCCTCAGCAAATTTGGGTGCGGAAGCTCTGGGCGGGAGCGCTAATACTGGGGTTAGAACAAGCCGCTTGCGGAATGGCGCAAAAGCGGGAAAATGGAGGGTCGCGGTTTAGAGGCTGTGCACATGAATGCCTTAAACGTCTTAACTGGAAGTCCAGATATTGTGTGGTATTCCTATACGGAAAGCCAATAAAGTAGTGCTTTTGTGTTGAGGAATATATGGCTCTCGTTCAACGCTGGCAGCGGGAGACTGGAAGCGAACATAAGATCGCGACAACATTTTACTTCACTCTGCTTCAAGAGAGCTACGGACGTTTCGTGGACGTTTTCTCTTGCAGCTGCCAACAACTTGAGTCTGTAGGAAGCTTTGCTTGCTGGGTTTTGGAGTGGGGGGAATGTCTCCCAAAAGAAAAAGGAACGTTTGGAGGGAGCCTCAACTCCTACGGCACGCCCAAAGCCAAGGGCCAACCGTTTTCACTTGCCTTCCCACATGAGTTGCTACCGAGTGTGGCTAGATATAAATGCATCATTAGCGTATTATTTACTGTGTGGTGTTTGCGTGAAAGCGGCGCCCGCCTCGAGCTCGTCGTGAACCGTTGTCAGCGATATGAAAACCCCAGATCTGACTGCTATACCGGATACAATCAGTGCTAATATTGCGTTGTAAGACCCATGCAGTGAGTTCCGCAATGCCTAGCTGTTCTGTAAGCACCTTTCTTTTTCGTTGTGCTATACAGCCGAGAGGGCCGTATACCGACGCACTGATACCCGATACCCACGTTTTTAAAATCGTGTCTTGAGATCCTTGTATATTTCTTCCTTCTGAATACAGGAGGACCCGAGCGAGTTTTTCTTGTAGTCTTCGAAGACAACCGCGACATCTGCAATCTTTATTGTCTTCGTCCTTTCATCTTGCAGGGTAATGTCTGGTCTCAAGCGTGTCTCCTTATCGTCCGGGCAACTGTCAATCAAGAGTGTTTTCTCCCTGTTCCCCGCGCTGTGTTTTATGGCTGTTCTAATCCTCTCCACTGCCTTGTTGTGTCTTGCTTTTATCTTACTGTCAATGTTGTGCGGGCAGTGGTTGAGGATATGAGCGAGGGATTCAGGGTCAGCTGTGCAGTGGCGGCAACGGGATACCTTCGTTACACCGATTCGTTTGAGGTATGCACGTGTGGGAAGCTGCGCAGGTCTCGCCCTGATGGCGAATATGATTTCTTCTGGCTTAAGACGAGTCGTTCCCAGAAGAAAAGAATTACTATCCGCTGTCTGGTAGGCCACAGAATATCCTTGATCCACCTTCTCTTTCCACACATCCCTCTGTTGTTCCACTATATGCTGTTTAATACTTCTAATAAGCTGCTTCTGGTCTAGAGCGGCTCCATCTGCTTTCTGAGGCACATAGCATCCATTGGTTCCAGTTACGGTTCGCGTCTTGCTCATCGATATAATTCCTGGGAGTTCTGAGCAGAGGATTCTTATATCCACCTTCTTGCTTATCCTTCTAAGACATCCTATGTCTTCACCGTTATGGTAGGCAAGAATAGCCCTTCGGACGCTGTTCTCATCTTTGGGCGTGTACAAATGCCCGCTTAATGACCTCCATCACCTGGCCTTCCGCAACCGCTCGGATCATGTCATCCGGGCTGTTGAGCGCTTGGATACCATGTCCAATCTGCGTTGCGGCTGCTGTCGTCTGTATCGATGTACAGCCCATTCCCCCATGAGGGATTGGCTGGTGAAATACCTCTTTGACCGTGCTCTTCGGGAGCTTGAAGGCTGCCTTCAGAGAGGCCCGTACGTGAGTATCGAATGCTACCAGGTGCTGTTTATAAGGATAGCAGTGTCTGAGGTGATAGTCCAGTCGAGACAGTACAAAAGTGCGCAGCGCATCTAATTTCTCCCAGGGGAGAACCTCTGATCTTAAAAGCCTGCTTATATGCTTTTTGGCCTTGCGCATGACGGAAAGGATTTGGTTGTGATGAACTGGTGATTCCAGCGCATCTTTGACCCCCAGGTATTTATAGGCTTCTCCCAGCTTCACCACTGGTAAAATCTCCTTGTGTAAGGTGAGCTTGACAGGGTCTCGTAGCTGCTTGGCCGCATGCACCTTCCATCCCACCGTTGCACATTTGGACGGGTTGGCCTCAAGTCCCGTCCATTGAAGGAAATCTTCAACCACTTGGTGGAGTTTGCTGATACCCGAGCGTGTGGCGGCCACAGTCTTCAAGTCATCTGCATACGTCGTATGAGAAACCATCACAGGTGGTTTCCCATTCGTCGTACGCATTTCAAGGCCTTCGTTGCACGCTGTTAGCCGCTGCAGGAAAGGCTCAATGGCAAGGTTAAAGATGATGGGGCTGAGGAGGCATCTTTGTTTGACTCCCCACTGATTATCTATGCGTCCAGTACAGCCCTCTCTCGTTGAGATGCAGAAGCTCGCTCCTTGATAGAGGTCAGCAATAACCTCACGGACGTGCTGCGGTAGCCGTTGATACTGTAAGACAACATGTATAAGCTGGTGGGGGATGGATCCAAAAGCGTTCTTCAAGTCGTAGTACGTCATATACAGCGATTTCTTGCCCCTGCGCTTGAGTCTGTAGAAATATTTAATGCGGGAGAAAAGCATGTCTTGAGCGGGGTTCGTTGCTAAAGCACGAACTCCGTTCCCACTAAATTTTTTCCGTAAAGGACGCACTGAAGGGGGGTTACCTTCTTTTGATAAACATCCTGTAAGAGTGTGAGTGTTAGATCTCTCAATGACTTAGTTCCGACCTTAATCATTCCCTTCAGGATGTTTGAAGTTTTTGTGATGCCTTGGTTTCATGCCGAGTTCTAGTGCTTTGCTATTTTCCCAAGGTGGCGTGGCTGCAGTACCAAAATTAATCATGGAGCGTAGCGACGTCTTTCTTGGCGGTTGCTGTTTCGCCTTGACTGTTAATAGAAATCCTGTTTTGTACTTTTGTGTCTCTCTAAGGCTTCCATATCGGCTATTTTGCATTCGAATCGTCGTTTGGATTAAGTGAGCGCAGTCCATTTTCTGGTGAGTTCGAAGGTGCCATTATGCTTCTTCTTGGCTTTCGTGGAAGCACGTCTTACAAGGCAACCCATTAAGGGCAAATGTCCAATGCTAAGAAGCACCTCTTACAAGGCAACCCATTAAGGGCAAATGTCCAATGCTAAGTGCATTAGACTATTAGTTACCCGGAATTTGCACACGCCACGTGATGTCAAAGCAAAATGTCGCGAACAGACCTCCTAGAATAGAAGGAAACACAAAACCACCGCAATATTTAAAGCGCTAATTGCTGAGGCTCAATTCTTCTAGTGCTGCTACTAGAAATTCTAGAGAATAATATGCTCTTGCTCTTTGCCGTGCAGAGCGTCATTCATACTTGCGCATAGTATAGGACATAGTTAAAACTATAAAGCCTACTATTCTAGCAACACTAGGTTGGAAGTGCCGAGTGTCCTGCCCTATCGCGAAAGAGGAATTCGAGAACACTGAAACATAGTTCGTTTCCAATTCAAACATGTTGACTCGGGCTGTGTCAGTTGTGCCACATCAGTCAATAGCTTTAAAATACCCTCTGTTAGATTGCCTTGTGGATTCCGCTGTGAATGAATGTTGAAGTATGCTCAAAGTTGCAAAAATTCGCGTTCAGCTGACGGTGTCCTCTCCAGTGCAAGAAGGCTATGCAGGCGAAAGTGGTTTTCATTGTGCTTGTGTCGCTGCGTGCTTGCGTTTAGTGCTCATAGCAGAGTATATGGTCTACACTTCGCGCGCATCGACGCCGTATAATGGTCATCAACCACAGTCATTGAACAGCAGAAAGATTACTGTCAGCGAGTAATGGAGATCCTAAAAAATGGGTTTTCTTTTATAGGATATGCAAACCCCTTTGGGGAACGCTTTCCACATCGTTATATGCCATTCTGTCCATAGAGAATGTATTGGCTGCTGAGTATACCTGCGTGCGTCCACAGGTTGTGTGAAAGCTGTAGACTGTGCGCTTCTTGAATGGTGTCATGCCGATCGTCGGCGTCTACGAGAAGCACCTTGGGAACCAATAAAAGCATAGTTATTGTGACAAGAAGCTACACGAGTGCATTAAATGAGCATCATTGGACTGAGAATCCGGCCTCGCAATAACCAATATGAGGATTGATATGTTTCGTGCTCCCTTTGTGGTATCTATGAATGGCAACACTTGCTACTCTCGGGTGCTACAGATTTCCCACCATGGTCTGACTGTTTGTCACCACTCAGGCAGAAATATCGCCTCAAGTGGTAGTAGTAAAATTATAGCCGCATTAATGAAAAACAAGTAGGTGAACTCTCAATTATTATTCGCTGTTTATTGTGCATTGAACGAAGGATCGAGGTTGCTCCCTGCCTTAGCAAATACTCTGGTTGGTTCCTTGAGAACAGTGAAGTACGCATTCCAAAAAGAATTATCAAGCCGCAAACATTAATAAACGGGAAGCATGTAAATTTGTTAAGCATTTTTGTACACATGTGGTTTGAGAGGCGAGTGGCACTCGGGTAATGTTATGTTTCGGGGATAGAAATGCCAATACCATGGCAATGGAAACGACGAGAAAATAGTGAACTGAACATACAGGTACTTGAGTTGAAGGTATATTGGACGACTATGTGACTGGCTGATTGGCTGCATTGCAGGAAACTACAAAGCTGTTGCCACACTCGCGCGACCGATGTGATTGTATTCTGTAATTCTGGTCATTTTGCTCAACGATGAACTCCTCGACATCCTATCTAATAGCTCTAATGTCCCAAAAACGCCGCAAAATTCTGCAAATTATTGAGCATTCTTCTTGGTATGTCCAAATGCTTGCGTTGTGGTTTCGGCGAGCCGCGCAATGCTGAAATGCACAAGGACCATTTTCCTGCTGAGCATTAATGGCTCAAGATTATTTGATCGCACATGGGGTAGACCTATTAGTGCTGTTTGGTTTTGCACTGTAGAAATGTGGAATATCTGTTTTTGCATGATGACTGCGCAGGACGCGTTTACACAAGCCACTCTTGGAACAATGGTCAATGGTGAACTGCGTTAGAGTCGCAGGGCCAATTTCGCGATACTGGAATCTTTTTTTGAAGTGTGCTTTTCAGATTTTTAGCTACCACATTGATTGGATCTTCGTACGTGTTTCTCTAGAAACTGCTTGGATAGTGACTTCAGACAAAGCGAAAAGCAATTCTCAGAGAGATGCAGGTCATCTGCTAGGCATAATGCGTGTCGTTTACCCTTTGAGGCCGTCCGTGACCTGTGCAACAAACGACAGCGTTTGGAAATACAATGAGGCACAGTTGTTCAGCGCAATCTAATATACTAGTAAGATCATGTTCTAGGAACACAAAGAAATTTGGCATTTCTACATCGTATCGTCTTTCTAGCGGCTTTTCCTAGATTAGCTAGCTATAACCTGGAATATTGACTGCAGGTGTACGACATTTCTTTTTAGCGCCCTAGTTATAAAACTATTAAATCGCGTGCATAATCTCTGTTATTGTACTGGAGAACATGCAGTATTCTAAGAATACTGTTTGATGCAGGAAAACGCGAAAGCCCAAAAAACCCAAGATAATCTTGCGTTCTCTAATACAAATACAGTTTTCACTGAGTTTACCGACGAAATCCTCGATTAACAAATAAGTGAAATAGAAATTGAGGATATATGGAATCAAGAGTCATGGACTGTTACTCTAGCTATGCTCTTTGTATTATTGGCTCTGTGGACTGTGCATAGGAATAACAGCTGAAGTGAGTGCTGTGTGTGTGTATCCCGTGTATCACCGTTCATTTGAATATCTTCGTGATTATTCCACCAACGAAAGAATTGCCATATCGGCTCCATGGAGAGAGCCTGCACTTACCTACGCCTCTTTCTTAATTCTCTGACTTCAATTATTGCAGTGACGCTGTTTACTATTATGATTCCGTAGCGTTCAAATGTGTCTATATATATTTGCGTCACCGCAAAGCTCCATTGTACAAGGATCACTGATAGGTTTTGCAGAAGGCCAACAAAAAGAAAAGGCTTGTAGAGCTAATTGCAGCACGCGCTTCAATCATGGAATTCCACTAGGGGAAAAATTCGTACTCTCACAAGAACACACTTTGTTCATAGCGTGCTCTCAAAACCAAACAGCATGGTGACCTCATAACCTACAGACCATGCTGTACAACGCTCAAATATAACTTTTTTTGTAAAACTTTATTTTGCGCTCCAACGAAGTATTTACCAGTTCCCACAATTTTCGTGTGATGCTACTCCTTTTTTAATATTTACTGCATGAAAGCACTGCCTGCTTATTGAAAATGAAACATCGTTATTAGCTGCCACTCTAGCAATCATCTTGACTGACTTAGGGCCTCTGTAGAATGTAGAATAATTATCTCCATGCACATGTATTTCTAGCAATCACCTCCAGAGCAGGACAAGAGAGCCATAGCAATGGAGCGTTCAATTATGAGCTGTTCCAGTTCAACCACGAAAAGCCAAACAAATTCAAAAATATAGATTCATTCTGGAGATCTACCCAGAAAATCTTCCAATGAAGGCGATTCAGGTGCTCTTTTTGCATACGAAGCCTAATGCGCACGGTCCACAGAGCGCATTCTCACCCTGTGCTAATATAACATGAAATGGCACTCTTACTAGCACTGCCAGCTGGGGCAATAGCGCAACTGTGCCTGGACAGCTAAGGGTTCAGTAAATTGAGCACTCTTTGGCAAGCCATTCCCATTACGGAAGAGCAGTAACAGCATACTGCGCTAAAGAAATAGTCACAGATCACCCTGGCCGGTCAGATCAGCAGGTCACAAAAGCTGTTGGACCAACAGCGTAAGGAAAACTCTAAACATGATCAACCAGCACGAAATACTGTGATTGGAGCCTCACTGGCAACATAGCAGGTTCCTTTTAATGAGCATTTTCCTGCCTGAGAAAACAATAATATACAGCAACACGCTTTTCTGGCTGCAACATTGAAACACAAGCTATCAACAGCGTTGATGCTACCCTAGCACTCGAACGGTAGAATGACGAAATATGTATTTGCCCATCCTGCTGCTGCTTCCTTTTTTCCCACTACGCTTCAGCAAAACGAAGCATCTCTGCGCTGACATTTCCACCGGCACGCCTGTCCAAGTATTTTCTATTTAGTGGCCTTTCCTCCGCCATTTTCAGCACGCAACGCAGCAGAAAATAGCATAGCTTTCGGCAACTACGGGATTCGTCAAACCCATACACAATCCCCTCAGTGCGGAAAGACAATAACACCGAACCCCCAGCAGCAGCGAAATTTTCGTATAGCCAGGGTGAATGGATCCAATGCGTATCAAACAATCGAGCCACATTGACCTCACATCATTGGTTTTCTGCTGTGCATGACCTGCGGGAGTTGTTTCTTCACGCGAGCACGTGGGTCAGCCAAAAAAAGCCCATGCTAAGTTTAACCAAAATAAGACATGCGGCAATGAAGCAGGTAATCGGCAAAATGCTTGCGTTAAGGATTCCGAAATATGTTTCGCAGCACATCGGCAACACGGCCAGGAAGGAGAGCGCAATTCGACTGCGGCGCAATATAGGCGCTTTCAG